GAGAGAGAGAGAGAGAGCGGGGGGGGGGGTAACGTCCACGCGACACAAACTATGCCATTTCGAAACTAACACACGGTTCAGTTTTATTCTAACTTCCCCAAGCTCAATGATGACAAAACGGAGGCTATCTTTTTTTCGTAAAACTACAGACTGTGTCAGCAGTCTTAGAGTGCTCTTGGATGAAAAGTTGAAAATGAAACGACATGTTTCTACCATCTGCAAGTAAGCGAACTTCCATCTTTAAAGGATCGGCAGAATCAGAAACGTTTTGGACACTTATACCATAAAAGTGCTCATCAGTGCCTTCCTAACAATCTTATTACAATACAGATCTATATTTCGTTTCGTTTTTTTATACTTTCGATGGCCTACACTACATGAAGATCTGACCGGTTGTAGCGGTAGGTCGCGTCAGAGGTCATACGAGAGGCTTTTGACCCTATGATGTCAGAGATTTGATTAACCAGTCAGCATTGATGTTACTAGTTGATTACCCACAGTTCCGTGCAAAACATGCCTTAAGCTCGCCGTAACAGACCGTTTCATTGGCTAATAGCTCACATCATTCAGAACACGTCAATGATAACAACTCTTCCAGATCCTAGTGTAGTAAAGACAAGTAAAACGAAATTTTGAACTATAAAAAACGAAACGAAATAGGATCTATGTTTTAATCAGATTGCCTTCGTAACATCTGCACAGGACTATTCAAAATGTATTTCTTTACGGTTTACCATCCTCTCTCATCCACCACATCTCTATTTAAAACAAAGCCGCCCGAATTATCACAAGAACCAACATTAGAGAACACATAACTCCAACCCTTTTCAGACCTCCACTGGATACCTTAAATTACAGAGACAGAGAACGAAATGGGCTTGTCTACAACAAGGAGTCCCCTAGTACTACACGTCAGTAAACTTGTTAATGGTTGATAATAATAGGCCCCGTATGAGAGTAAGAGAGAGAGAGAGAGAGAGAGAAGAGAGTGAGAGGTGGGGTTTAACGCCCAATCAACACAAACTAGGTGATTTCGAGAGAGAGAGAAATGGGATTTAACGTCTACTCGACACAAACTAGGTAATTTCGGGACTAACACATGGTTCAATTTTATTTGAATAATTCGCTTGCGCCTAGGGTTCTTTAGCAGTGTGGGGAGGGGGGGGACCAGGAACCTGGAGAAAACCCACGAGGTTGGACAGGCGAGCCTCGTCGCGTACAACCGGGGAATCGAAACCACGCCTGTTGACTCAATGACAGACCTTATGATACAACGCACACGCGCTAACCATTCGCCCCCCCCCCCCTATAAATTACAGAACATCTTTCAAAATCAATACCCTCACCTATCACTGCCCCAACAATCCTAATTCTCCGGACTATCGTAAAGATTTAATTCATCTATATATTCCTCAACGTTCCCTCCATCCCAAACTTAGGCTGCCTGTCTACAGCTAGTTCCGCCTGAGAACAGGCCCTAAGCTAATTAACCGACATTTTAATTCCTACATCGACGATTTTAGTCAAAAACACTGAATATGCTTTTAGAAATTTTTAGAAATATTTATTTCTCTTCTATTGTCATAATGAATGAAATTAAATATGTTTATTTAGCCGCTGGGTGTATGAAAGATGTCAAACTAATCAAATACGAATCACAAAATAGTCCTCTAATTATTCAATATGGCGGCGCCCATGATTGCCATGAAAGATAATTTCACAGAGGCGGTTTTGTTTGCGAAGACAAATTTAGGAGTATCCAACCTTGTTTTGAAAGATAAACAGATTGAAACTGTAAAGACAGTTTACAATGGCATATTATATATCGCGTTTACCGGAGTGGCAGAAGTTGACATTTTGCCTATGACATGTGTTTGCATAAAAAACGTGCTTGATCGGGTTATTTTTACTCTGTTGTGTACACAAAGCTATTATCCAGTCGATAAGCCCCACCCTAAAATGATCACGTGAGCGTTTTAAATGGAGGTTAACTAGGGCAGTGATCATTATTCTCGAAGTATGACGTAGATGGATCGCTGCGTGCAGTTTACGTTCCCTCAGGTCATCAAATCAACTACAACTCAAAGCACACAAACCAAACACAACATTTGAAGAAAGGGCCTTCTGTTTCGCCTCCACCCCCCACCCCCCAAGAATGGAATAAACTGCCCCTTACCATTAAACAAAGCTGTGCTGTCTCAAGCCCCCCCCCCCCCCCCGCTCGTACGCCTATGCCAGTGCTATACAAGATGGATTATTATTATTATTATTATTATTTAGCAGTAGGAGAATGTCATTTCGGGACGAACACATGTTTTAATTTTATTTCAATAATTCGCTTGTGCGTAGGGGTCTTTAGCAGTTGGTGGGGGGGGGGAGGACCCGGAGATAACCCACGAGGTTGGACAGGCGACCCTACTCCCTGTCACATACAACCGGGGAATCGAAACAACGCCAGTTGACTCCATAACAGACCTAATGATACAGCGCGCACGTGCTAACCATTCGGCCATCCAACCCCTATTGTCACGTACAAGCGCGGAAACGAAATAAAACCACTTGACTCAATAATAGACCATATGATCTATTAACCGAACACACAATAAACAAGAGAATCAAGTGAAAATGTTTAATCGCTTCATTAAACATACATTATGCAAGAGGTAAATCTGTCTATTGTAGATCTTTCTTTAGGCCTGAAATTTCTATAAACTATTAATAAACATTTATTAACCCGAAAAGACCATACTCAACTCTCAAAGTCATCTTATGTGTCCTATTTTCTTTGGATTGGAATCCGATCTGCTGTTCAACGTCCGTTGATGATTAAACACTAAAATGGATAAGCGAGACTGTGTTAATTATCTTGAAAGCGGTAACGATGACAATCGAGGCTACAGTGATTTTAAAATAAGGTTTCTCGGCTTAGAGTGAAGCAATTTGGATGACATTTTCAGCATAATCCATTTATGTTCTCTAGATTTTATCAATTATAGCGAACACTGTCAGCTCTTTATTTAATCTTCCATAATGTATCTTTAAAATATTACAGCTAAAATTTTTTCATCGATTTATTAGAAAACGGCTCGATAAACTAAAAGTATTCTGATTGCAATAAATTGATTTGTACGAAGTTTTATAAGTGGGTCATCGAAGTTGTTAATTGTCACGCTATTTTCTTTGTTGTTTGCTGTTTCATCATAATTAAATCTTTACCCATCAAAAGGTCCCCCTTTCAGAGTCTCGTTATAAACCATAAGATGAAAATAAAATAAAATTATCTACTGACTGACATGTTTTATAAATCACCTTCATATGTTTTCGAAGCAGGAAGTTTGATATGGGTAGTCTCTGTCATTCAGACAGATATTCTATGTACGTTGAATACTAAGGGGTTCTGGGTGTCCGAGACTAGTAGATGGGCATCGTTGTAAAGCATTAAAATGTCTGGGGACGTTGGGATGGTCAAGTGTGTCGGTCACTTCTGACTTCCGGTCGTGGTTTCGATACCTGGTGTGAGCGTATGTGGCTTGGATTTACTCTGGGTACTCCCCCTCCCCCCAACAGGAAAACCCCTGCTAGTGCGCTAAGCATAATATAATAAGACAACCTGTGGAAGCGGGCGTTAAACGCTAATAGAAGAAGAATCGTTCATAGTTTGTGTGGAAAATAGTTATACTTTAAGTCCGCTTCCACATCCACGCTATGAAATGAAATGGGGTTTAACGTCCCTCCCCCACCGCCAACACTAAATAACAGTAACAAAATCATTAACTATTTTGTTTCCATGAAATGTGGAGGCCTATATTTGAATTATAACGTAGCTGATGTAATTGAATGGTATATTCGTGTCCAGCTCATCCGCGGCATCCGCAGTGGTCTCATTCCATTCTACTCCAATAACCCCTGGGTTAATCTATGGGGAGATACGTATTCAAGTTATCTTCCCTTGATGATTGTGCTATTTGTATCGACCAATCTCATAAATAATTAATTGCAATGGAAGATGGCGAAGGGAAGTAATTCTGGTCGGGTAGAGTAAGCAAAACGCAAATGAAATGAAATGAAATGGGGTTTAACGGCCTACTCTATGAAGACGGGCATACGCCATACAGTGTGCTATGAGGGACATTTTGCCCGGGCAGCGGCGCTACGGCCTACTTTTATATCGAATTCCAACTGTCAATGGATCTTTTTACGTGCACGCCAATGTGTACACGGGACCTCAGTTTTTCGTCCTGCATCAAGACGAAGCAAAATGCAAAGGCTCCCCAACAAAAGACAAAGTTAGGAATTAGCCAGAAGGTAGTCCCCAAGCAAAAAATCAGAGAAGGCCAAATTATGCCAAATGCGTATTTATTAACATCAAATTACAATATTTATATTATATATTAATGAAGACCAGACAGATATTTACATAATTAGGGTCAAGAGTTTTATTGATATTTGTTCTAGGGATATGGCCCAGCTCTAGATAATATAGGTCATGTCTGTTCCCCGAGCATTTTCAGCCATTGGAAATAAAATATTTATACATGCATTAAACATACATTATACAAGAGCTAAATCTGCCTATTGCAGGCCTTTCTTTGGGGCTGGAATGTTTTCTAAATTATTAATAAAACATTAATAAACTTATCCAGATTCAACTCTCGATATTTACATGGATTTGAATACATTTTGTGATGGATGATTTAACGTCAAAATGGATAATCGAGTCTTTATTTTTATTTACCGACTTTAGTAATGATGATCGAGGCTAAGCCTAAAATTCAATCGCTAAAATCTCGGTTCAGAGTGGAGCAATTTAACTGAAATTTCCAGCATTATTCTAATTACGTTATGTTTTTTTTTTTTTTTTTTTCAACTATTATAGCGAGAACTGTCAACTCCTTATCTAATCTCAAGTAACACCCTTTTAATACCTTCCCCTTCCCCACTCCTCCATCTCGCTATCCCCCCTCCCTCACCTCGCTATTCCCCTCCCCCCTCTACCCTAACCCATATCCTCGCTACCGAAGCCATTGTGTGATGTTTTGCCAAGATTAGTAACGGTATTTAATATATGTCGACGACAGCTTGCCAAAAATACCACAGCTGTTTTCTATCAAATGTTGACTTCATAGATATAACTTGCTAAATACGACAGCTATTTTCTATCAAATGTTGACTTCACAAATAGCTTGCCAAATATACAACAGCTATTTTCTATCAAATGTTGACTTCACAGATGTAGTAGTCCGTAAAGCTACACGCCCCGTCATTCCATCTTAGTTCGGTACTAGTGTTTTTCCAGTTGAGAAAACCGCATAAATTGGGACCATCGGCATTGTTAGGTTCACCAACGCCCCAGTATGTAAATGTTGCAGTAGCTTGTGTTCGTCCATCCACCAACTCAAAGTCTCCATTAGAATAAATATGATGCACACCGAAATGGTAACTTAGGGTGTGACCTGTAAATAGAATGGCTAGGTAAGGTAAAAAACAAATAATCAACAACAACAACAAAAAATCCAACATACAACCATCATCAACAACACGAGAGAGAGAGAGAGAGAGAGAGAGAGGGGGGGAGAGAGAGAGGTCATTTCGGGAATAACACGTGGTTTAGTTTTATTTCAATAATTCGCTTGTGCGTAGGGGTCTTTAGCAGTGGGAGGAAACCGGAGTACCCGGAGAAAACTCACGTAGTTGGACAGGCGACCCTACCCCTTGTCACGTACAACCGGGCAATCGACACCAGACGAGTTGACTCAATGACAGACCTTATGATACAGCGCGCACAGGCTAACCATTCGCCCCGCCCCCCACCTCATCAACAACAAAATTCAACAAGGACAACAACACAAAATTAATGATAAGTGGCTGCTCATGTGCGCAAATTACAATTGACGGTAAGTGATATGAATGACGGTAAGTGATATGTAGCTACACCCATACAATTGTGATGCGGCTACCTGTTCACTTATTAGGAAAACGTGACGCTTTCTCAAATTGGCGTCGTTCGAAGAGTGTGTAGAGTTTTCAATGCAAAGTTGTTTTTTGTTTAAAGAAAATCGCATAAACAGCTTCAGACATTAAAAGCCTTGCATGATAAAACACTCTTCGCATGCGCCTTCATGGGCGCCGCCATTTGTAATCCGATAACTTGAAAGTAGTTCCAATGGCGGAATTCGTCATACAGCCGAGTTTAGATGTAGGTTTACCAAGTGATATTTGGCTGTTGAAAAAATAGTATAATCTCAGACTGGATAACCCGTTCTAAATGAAGTGAAGTAGTAATGGGCCTGGCCATATAAATATATATTAGACTAACTATCCAGTCCACAATAATCTAAGGATTTAATCAATCAGTGCTATTGTAATAATCTTATGGCCTTGACTAATTATTCTCCATTGTCAGTATATGAATCGCAAATTAAATTGTTTATGAAATATTGTTTCAATAACAGGATATGGGGTCTAAGGCCAAGGATAAATTCCTACTCCCCATTTAAGGATGGTACTCACGTCATTAAGCATGAGAGCCAATCATCATAATTAATTACGTCATATTTGGTCAATTGAATAATAGATAACTAATATAAAACTATCAGAGCAGTGGGCTATTTTTAGACAACCATGTAAATTATAGAGGGGAGGATGTAGCAAGTTATATCAGCAGACGCGCACTAGTCAGTTTGGTGGGGTCTAGAGATAGAGAGAAGGATTTTATTTTTAATCTATGCTTGTAACCTATGTATCCAGTGCTTGACATAAAATGTAGAAGCAGTGAAGATAAAAAACGAATTTAAGTTTAACGTCCTAATCTCTCCTCTCTCTATCATCAACAACACGAGAGAGAAAGAGAGAGAGAAATGGAGTTTAACGTCCACTCGACAAAACATGGTTCAATTTCTATTTCAATAACTCGCTTGCGTGTAGTGGTCTTTACCAGTGGAAAGAAACCGGAGGACCCTGAGAAACCCCGCGAGGTTGGACAGGTTTAGTCACGTTCTAATTAATTAATCCCACATGTCTTTTACAAACTACATAATATGATCTGTGCACACGCTCCGCACGCTCCACGTTACTTCAAGGGAAAACGCACTCGTCAGCAAGAATACCATGACGTGATAAAGAGGCAATTGCATGTATGAACACGAGTCTTATCTATTCTCCGGCGCTATAAAATCAGGAGTTTACTGACAGTTAGGGAGACGAGCGGAGAGGAGGCGAGACGCAGACGAGAGAAAAGCAGAGACTGGCGGATGGAATCGCCTGCGTTCAGCTGCTGCTTTGCCAGAGGGGCGGAATGCTGGATTTAATATAGTTATGTACCGTCGTGCTGTGTTCCTGTCATAGTCTAGTTCCCGTATATTAGTTTAAGTTCCTTTATTGTTCTGTATGTAGATGTGTTATATTCTGTTCCGATGTAAATAAGGTATATACATGTATTTACTAAACTGAACTCTGTTATCACTAAAATAGTGCCATGAGGGAAATTTTGCAGGGACAGAGGCACTATGGCCTACTCTTATATCGAATTCCAACTATCAAAGGATCTGTTACGTGCACGCCAATGTGTACACAGGACCTCGGTTTTTCGTACCATCCGAACGACTAGACAACTGTCCTTGCCATGCCCTCCTTCCTACATCACTGACAAGGGGGAACCACGCCGGAAAATCCCGATGAACTTTCTCGGCCAACACAGGGATCGAACCCACGACCTCCAGGTCCAGGTCTTACTCAGTGAGCTACCGTGGATCTCAGGATTGGGAGAATAAAAGAGCTGCAATTTACCGTTATTTTTCATATAGGTGTTGAAGAAGGTTTGCTTTGTTGTGCTGTCTATCACTAACAGATCACCACCTCCATACCCCTGACAAGTGGACCTAGCAATTGTCCACGAACGTGTTATGGTCGAGATCAAGAAGCAGTAACCGGAATTGGACGTAAAACCAGCTGGACAAACGCGGGGAGGTGGTACTGTCGTCGTAGTCGTGGTCGTTGTCGGTTCTGTTGTGGTTGTCGGTTCTGTTGTGGTTGTTTCAGCTTCTGTGGTAACCATTGTTGTTGGAACTGAAAAATAAAATAAACAAAGCTAATCAACAACACGTTAGGTACAGGCCGCCAATGTATACCCGGGACCTCGGATTTTCGTCCCATCCGAATGACAAAACAGCACCACTGACAAGGGGAAACCACGTTGGAAATTCCGATGAAATTTCTCGGCCAATGCAGGGATCGAACACCCGACCTCCAGGCTAGCGAGCCAGTCTCTTACCCACTTAGGTACCGTGTGCTATAAGTATCGAATTCCAATTACCAAGGGATTTGTCGTCCCATCCAAACGACTAGACACTATTCCTTGTCAGACTAACAAAGAATATACTTTATGCGTATGGTTGTTATAGTGTTACATAAAACGCACTTCAATTGCAATATAAACATAACTTATTCGGGGTTTGGAGGGGGGGGGGTATTTAGGGGCCCCGTTTACTTATGCACGCCACGACCCCTTGTGTCTTAATAAGGCATTGATTAGTAAGGGGGTTATAGGGTATAGTTTTACTATTTCATCTCTTCGGTGTTGGCAGCGAGAAAGTTCCGCTGTGGTTTCATCTTGTCAGTGGTGCAGGACCCGACACAATCTGTTTCACAGAGATCTTTTAATATCTCTGTTACAGATGACCGTTTCGAAACGTGACGTCACACCACGCGGCGCCAATCATTGGCTCAATAGCGCGTGCATTGTTTACATAAGACCTTATTGGTTCGGGCGGAATGGAGCCTTTTAGTCATTTTAATACCCATTTACACTAAATAGGGAATAATTTTACCTACAAATACGTCAAACGTCTTAATTTATTTTTCTAATACACGAAAAAAATGTTTTAGAATTGAATTTGTCGGAGGAAAAAATTTAATATTTGTGGCTCATTAAGTCGCATCGATGTCATCCTTATCAGTGATTGTCGCGGCCTAGCAAATATTCACTGCTGATCAGTGTGTACCCGACAAAGACCGCTGTCCGGTCGTTCGGATGGAACGAAACTCGAGGTCCCGCGTACACATTGAAGTGCACGTAATAGATTCAATGGCAGTTGGAATTCGATATAAGAGTAGTCTGCCCGGGCATAATTTCCCTTATAGGACACTGTATGGCGTGTCTTCATTAGCTCAGTCGGAGTAGAACAGTGGGACATTAAACCACATTGTAACATGCTTAAGGGTGAATCCGGCGTTTTGATAGGTTAAAGATACATTATGGGAGATTAGATAACGAGTTGGCAGTTCTCGCTCTAATAATTAAAAACTAGATAACGTAAAGGCAATTTGCTGAAAATTTCATTCAAATTGATCCACTATGAAACCAGAACTAAGCGAATAAAATTTCTGCCTAGCCTCGGTCATCATTACTAAAGTCAGTACGTTAAACAGCATAGTCTCGATTATCCATTTAATCGTTTAATCGAGAAGGAAAGTTATGCAGTAAATCGGCTCACAATCCACTTAAGATCGCAGGCTAGCGATGCCATCTAGAGTTGATTATGCCCTGGATAAGTTAATTAATGTCTAATTAATAATTTAAATAACATTTCAGGCCTAAAAAAAGCCATGCAATAGGCAGATTTAGCTCTTGCATAATGTATATTTAATTAGACACTGTCTATTGGATAATAACACCCCTGTTTTAGTAATTTCTATTAAAATCCTAAAATAGCATGTTACAATGTCGATAAACACGTCCTGTTTCGTATTTAGAGGGGTGTTATTGTGCAATAGTTATGTCCTGAGATTTTACATTAGAACCCGCGATGCTAACACGTCCTAATGATCTCAGGACATGTCTATTGGACAAAAACACCCCTCTAAATGCGAAACAGGAGATGTTTATCTCCTAATTACATTTCATTTCATTTAAAAACGCCTAATTGTTAAAATGTTTATTTACTCTTCACATAATTACCACGACATTATAAAACAGTCATATATTTTTTTCTCTCAAAACAAACCTTTATTTAAAGTAGACACAATATTTACTGCGCAGGTCAAATCGTTTAGAACGAGTTCAGTTATGGAATAATATCGATCGAACTATCCACTTACTGGAAGAAATAACGAATTCTGAATCAGAAATTTAAAAACAAGATTGAACACTGAAAGTCTCTTCTAGAACAACAATTGTTATTATTATGATCAAGAATTAAACAGTTCGATCACCTTTCAAATAAATGCTTTACATGTTTATGTGAATCAATAACTCGTGTTAATTGAAGACACATTGATTTAAACATAAATTTTCTTTTAAATTAGATTTGATTGTTCTAAAACTTAATTTTTTGTCGCCCAAGTTTGGGATCGAAGTCCACTCGATACTAGCATATGGTTCAATTTTTATTTGAACAATTCGCTTGCTCGTATGGCATGGTACCTTTTACGGTAATATAATTGAAAGCGTTGATTGACTGGGGCATGATCGCGATCTACGAAATGCCATCAGAAAATTCCATTCTCCATGGATTTCAAAATAGAGTTGTACTTGTAATTAATATAGGCCTTATATAGTTAATAACTGAGAGTACAATCGTATGGATACATTGCCCTGTGAATTTCAAAACGAAACCGAGACGCACCATTCTAAAATACTGAACAGTTATTTTCAGAATAGAAATAATATACGAGGAGAAATAGAAAGACATGGAACTATCTTTAGATAATTAAACCGATGGGCAGTATGATTTGTTGATAATAATTTTTAGTATGTATAAAAATAAAATGGACTCTAAATAACGTTATATATGTATTCAATGATTTAATGGCCTCGGCTATTTATTTTGCCGAGGAAAATGTAAAATACATCGGCATTTACGGATTAGCCTCGGCTATAGCAGATTGCCGAGGTTAATTGACAGGACTGCTTAAGTTCATCGGGAAAATATTAAAGATTAGAAATTCAAAAATGAGATTCAGTGTCCCACCCAACGGTCTTTTACCGTATGTTTTGCTACTTTTAGACGCTGAAATATTGTGCCGTAGCGTTTTTATGAATATATGTGTATCCTAGAACACGAAGGTGTATATTTGACGTGATTTTAACCATGGCAAAGACGACATCACTCCCTTCAGGAATTTGTAGGCTATGTCCTTGACTAGTACTGATGTTAATCTTGGTAGATAACTGCCATTATGCTGTAATAGAACTACGCTCAGCTCAGCTACCCATACGTACGCGGCGCGAAAATCTGCCAAAACTCTAAAACTAAATTAACGCAACGTATCAGGTGACGATACCAATACGTTATACGGATGGGAAAAATTCCATTTGCCAAAAGTCTCTATTGTCACTGTGCGGTAAGCTCAATTAAGCGTGTCAGATGATTGGGGGGGGGGGGGGTACCGCCTTATAGTCATCACCTGTCCCTTCAGAAAGAATGACTCAGAAAATGTATTAGCTCATGCCTGGTGACTAGACTTCATGGATGTATTCAGTAGTAGTGTTAAAGGGATAATTTCATATTTTTAAATTATATTTTTAAAATGTATTAAAATAAAGCCTTAAAATAGATGGTATCTATAAAAAGTCCTACCTTGTTAAAGAATAATCCTATTAATCCTATAATTCACAATTGCCAGTTGAGAAATTGGCAAAAATATCATTTTCAACTTCAAATCCAAACGTTTGAAGATAGCTTAACCATTGGGGGAATAGAAAAACAAGGGAGGTAATTGTGTTATTTCCGGGGTGAAGGCTTTTTTAAGTGTGAGAATGATACCTATGATCGTATAATAGTAAATTGACAACCTATTGAGCAAAAGACATAGAAATAATTATGTTTTGATTTTCTTAGAAAATATGAAATTCTCGCTTTAAATTCTTAGACTTAAAGCCGGTCACCTGTTTACAGACAGATGCCTCAACACGCAATCTGATTAAAATACGATTTCGTTTCGTTTTTTTATAGTTCACAATTCCGTTTTACTTGTCTTTATTACACAAGGATCTGGAAAAGTTGTTATATTACCCACGTTCTGGTTATTGTGAGGGATTAGCCAATGAAATTGTTCGTTGCAGCAAGTGGAGTGCGATGCACGGAACTATGGGCATCCTATTAGAAACATCAACAATGATTGGTTAATCAAATGTCTGACGTTATAGGGTCGAAAGCCGCTCGTATGACCCCTGCCGCGACCCCCCCCCCCCCACACTACAACTGGTCAGATCTGCATGTAGTAGAGGTCATCGAAAGTATAAAAAAGCGGAAACGAAATATAGATCTGGGCCCTTATTCACGAAAACTTAAACTAAGATAAAATCGACATTTTAAGAAATACTGCAATTCGATTGGCTGACCAGTAAAATCAATTTGCATATATCCAATGAGGTTACAGTATTTCTTAAAATTTCGATTTTATCTTAGTTTAAGTTTTCGTGAATAAGGGCCCAGTATTTTAATCCGATTGCTCAACAGACGGCGGTGCAGGCATTTTATAAAGGAAATTACTTTCATGTAAACTGGAATATTGACCTCCCTTTAAATGTCAAGGAGCTTATAAACATCAAAGAATGTCTGGCAGTCGAGCTCTCCACGATACGTTGAGAACACATGTTCTTGTCGCAACAGACAATATGACGACCGAATACATATTAAACAAAGGTGAAATGAAATGGGGTTTAACGTCCTACTTTTCTGCTCTTACTGGGCTAATGAAGACGGACATACGTCATACAGTGTGCTATGAGGGACATTTTGCCCGGGCCGCTACACTACGGCCTACTCTTATATCGAATTCCATCTGCCAAGGGATCTTTAGGTGCACGCCAATACATACACAGGACCTCGGTTTGTTCGTCCCATCCGAACGTCTAGATAGCAGTCCTTGTCAAGCCCTCCGCCCTGCATCACAGACAAACTTTCTTGGCCAATGCAGGGATCGAACACACGACCTCCAGGCTAGTAAGCAACCATCTTACCCACTTAGCCACCGCACTTCAACCAACCATGTACTCCATGACATACCTACGAACGCTAATTTGTTTATTAGCCATTCACAACTTCGACATTCTAGGGGGGTTA